GAAAAAGAATCCTCACCCGGAGTTATTGGGGTAGTGAAGAGAAACCATTATAGGCGGATTACTGGTTTAGTCTAGCACAGTGTTTCTCAACCTTGGCAACTTGAAGATGTCCGGACTTCAACTCCCAGAATTCCCCAGCCAGCATTCGCTGGCTGGGGAATTCTGGGACTTGAAGTCCAGACATCTTCAAGTTGCCAAGGTTGAGAAACACTGTGCTAGACTAAACCAGTAATCCGCCTATAATGGTTTCTCTTCACTACCCCAATAACTCCGGGTGAGGATTCCTTTTCCTCCTGCAATATCAATCTCTTGCCTCTTCAATGGCTCTCTCAAGACACCCCTCACACCCTCCATTTAAGGCTCCAGGAGACTCCAAAACCCATTCTTCCCAACTAGGCCGGCTGCGGAAGCTAGGCTTTAGTCCAAACACATCGGGACGGCGCTGTACCGGGAATGTCCACCCGCACGGCCTCTTCAACCTCCCTCCCCTCCCCACCCGCCCCTTGTTCCCTCATAATCCGCTCGCCGTCCCTCACCTCCCGGTCTTTGAGGCCCAGCAGCAACACCTCTTCCATGAGCGTGAGCCGCGTTTCCTTGGAGTCCCCCTTCTCCTCTTCCCCCTGCTCGTCTCGCCGGCCTTCCTCCTCCGGCCCGCCGCCGCCGCCGCCCCCGCCATTGCCGCCGCCGGCCCCCCGGTCTTTGTCGGCCGCGCTGCGCGAAGCCTCCGTGCGGCGTTGCACCAGGCCCGAGCTGCGCTGGGTCAGCGAAGTCATCGCGCGGCGGCGGGGGCGGCGGCAAGAGAACGGAGCCTGCGACCCCTGAGGGCCCCGCTCGGCGGGAGGAAAGCGGCAGGAGCCCCGGGAGGCCGCGGCCTTCTCCCTCCGTTCCCGCAGGCAGGGCGCAGGCCCGCCGTCGCCGGCAGGCCAGAGACGGGATGGGCGGGCCGGTTCCGCCTGTTGCGGCAACTCAAAGCGGCGGCGGCGGGGGCGACTTCGGCGGTGTCTCCTCCAATATGGCGGCGCGGACTCCCTCGGCTGACGCCAGCAGCGACGGCGGCGGAGGCGGAGGCGGAGGATGTGGCAGAAGAGGCGGAGAGACAAGGGAAGGGAGGGAGGCCGGCTTTTCAAAGCCCGCCCGCCCGTCGGCCCTGCATGGCCGACGTGGCCGCGTCGCTCCGCCCTTCCCCGGAGGGAGCGGGGCTGCTGAGAGGATGTGGAAAACGTGAGGCTCCCGGGGGTCTTGTTGACCGAGGTTCCCGTGTTCTCCAGGGAGACAACATCCTGCGAAACGCAGGAAAAGCAGCCCCGACCGAGGGGGCAAAAGAAGCCGAGCAAGGGAAAAGGATGCCCGTGGAGTCAATGAATCTGGGTGGGAGAAATGCAAAATACTGGCCGGCGATCATTCTTGGCTTTTCTTTTTAATACCAGTACTCCTCGTTTAGTGACCGTTCCACGTTACAACGGCACTGAAAACAGTGACTTTGGACCATGTTTCACACTTTTGACCGTTGCAGCATCCCCATGGCCGTGTGGTTTACATTCGGATGCTTGACAACGTATTTATGACGATTGCAGTGTCCTGAAGCCCTACGATCCCCTTGTGCAACCTTCGGACAAGCGAAGTCGATGGGAAAAACCAGATTCACTTAACAACCATGTTACTAATTGAACAACTGAAATAGCAATAGCAATAGCAGTAGACTTATATACAGCTTCATAGGCCTTTCAGGCCTCTCTAAGCGGTTTACAGAGAGTCAGCATATTGCCAACAATCTGGGTCCTCATTTTACCCACCTCGAAAGGATGGAAGGCTGAGTCAACCCTGAGCCGGTGAGATTTGAACCGCTGAACTGCTGATCTAGCAGTAGCCTGCAGTGCTGCATTTAACCACTGCGCCACCTTGGCTCTTCACTTAACAACTTCACTTAACAACTTGGCTCTTCACTTAACAACTGTGGCAAGAAAAGTGGCAGAACTCACTTAATAAATTTCTCAGCGCCATACATTTTTGGCTCAATTGTGGTCATAAGCTGAAGACTACCTGTAGTCTTGTTTAAGTATCGGCAAAAGGTGAAGAGGTCTTTGCCATCCAGTTGAGATTCTCCTGACTTCCTCTTGTTTTTACCCACCTGAAACTAACTTTAAAGAAAAGATCCTGAGGTGGTCCCTGGTTTGGCTTCTTTCGAGTTCTGCCTTGTGCAGATTTTGCAATATTACGGAGCATCACATGAAACCACATTACAAGACAGAATTGGTCTAGTGGTTAAGGCACCAGGGTAGAAATCAGAAAACACTGAATTCTAGATGTGCCTTAGTCATGAAAGCTGGCTGCGTGACCTTGGGCGAGTCACTAACTCTCAGGCCAATCCACCTCACAGGGTTGTTGTGAAGGAGGAAAGGAGCAGGGAGGAGTGTGTTTGCTGCCTTGAGTTACCTATCAAGTAAAAGGAAAGGGAAGATTATTCTCTCAGACTGAAGCCAAGAGACAAACAAATAGAACAATCATCAATTATTTCTTAAATTCTGTACTTCTGTTCTAGAAGAACTTTACAATTAGCAATTGGTGTCACAACTGATTTTCCCCCCTGTTCCTGAACACACTCAGAAAATGAAATTGATTATAATTTTTTTTTATCTTTGCAAGCCCTTTTCATATAAAGAGATTGTGGTTTGTTTTGAATACTTCTTATGTATGTAAAATAGAAGGGCGCAATGGCTCAGCAGTTAAAGACACTTGAGTTTGTCAGCTGGAAAACTAACAGCCCATTATGAGACCCCAATGCTGCATAATGAGGTGAGCTCCCGTTCCTGCCAATGTAGCAGTAATTGAAAATGTGAGTAGAAAACAAGAAAAATCCTGCTGGCCACTTGACCGCGGAAGCATTTTTGGACATCGCTGGCTCCCTCCGCTAAGAAACTGAGATGACTCCCTCTAGAATCAGACATGACTGGACAGGAGATACTTTTACCTACATTTGTAAAGTAATGTCATCTAGCCACTAATACGTCATTCAGGGTATAAACAAAATTATAACCCTTCCTGCATATGTGCATACATGTATATGCTTATATTCTCAAGAATACACGGACACTCATGGAACTAAAGTTGATTTGTACACAAGCACCACCACTGTGGGTTCCAGGGATAGAAATAGGTGACAGGTTACCTCACAGAGCAGACTGACTTAAGTGAAGATTACGATACCGCCCAAAAAATTTCAGAGCCCTTGTTACAAAAATAGCATGCATGCTTCTGAGTTTACCATTATGTTTTCTGGAAAGAGGATAAAGCAATTCCAGTTAATTACAGTCTAAGGATGAAACTTGAGTTCATTGCAGGCATTGGATTGGGTTCATCTCGTGCTGCATTTAGTTCCATCTATGACCTTTGTCCCAGCAGCTTTGAAAAATATGGTACTACACTTTTGAAAATATATTCTTTTGAATTACTATCTCAAATAATAGGATAATAATCACTATTTGGAAAAGAGGAAAAATTGAATGTAGGTGCTACAAATGGTGCTTAAAAATAAATATCAACATGTACTTACTGATTAACTCAACTAAGACATCTAAGGATTGTGTTTGGCCATGCAGAAGATTTGCATGCAAGGTAGGCTTTTATTTAGGTATTTATTATTTATTTAGGTTACTAATTAGATTGATTTACTTGGTTTCTATGCTGCATTTCATGCAGATGTTCGTGGACTTGGGAAATAATAATTGATAATATACCATTGGCATTGACTAAAATCACCAATCGATTGCAAGAAGCAGGTTTACTTAGAACAGCTTATATCCTGTGACACTATCTTTAACACCATCAAACAACATCTGCCTATCCCATGCCCCTTGAGAAGAATTCTGTAAGTGGATAAAAATGCCAAACACTTAGACAAAATGTCTAAACATCTGGCTAAGTGACAAACCATAATAATTATGATTGCATTATATGTTGTATATAAAGTGCTATTTATGAGCACTGTGAAAACATTGAACCTTATGGAGACACCCTGATGAAAGGGGGGGGGCTGCTTAATTGAAGAGCTGAGAAAAGCTGTGCTAGCATTTCTTCCAAATGATTTCTGAAGCATGCATAACACACTGCTGTCTACATCTGCACACCTACAGTACATAAATGATTGTAAGGTCAGTGTCAAGAATGTGGAGTAATGTTACTGCAGTTCCATCAGACAAGTGATATTTATTAGCCACTGATGGTTTCTCTCAGAAACAGTGACTCTCCAAACCTTTCAATATGTTTACACGATGTAAGCTTCAGAGCTGTTCTGTGAACTGCTTTTGTCAATAATCTTTCTAGAAGTTTGTTGCAGCAAAAAGGCAAGATGGTTCTTCTGCTATTTAACACATTGTGATATATAGTCTAGCTTCAAGATGTCAGAAGCAAAGCATATTCCAAAATAACCGAAGAAATGGTAGGGTTACTTAATGAGATTTATTGCTACGGAGCAAACATCCTCACAATTTATTAGCTTGCTGAAGGATTTTATCATCAAGATACATTCTTATTGCCTTATTTGACACCACAATATATAAAAGCTAAAATGCTTAGTGTCAGCACTTTCAGAGAAAAAAATCTGAATATATTATCAGTATATTCATTTCCTCTGTCAGAGGCAAGAAGATATGTTTTTAGTTAATCAGGAATGATTCCAAATCTGGAATATACGCTTGTGCAAGCTTTAATCTCTGTTTCAGCCAGAAATGATCAGTTTCAACTAGCAATTATATTTACCAGTGCAATTTCTGGTAATGAAACCTTTCTAAAAGTAGATTGTTTCCTTAGCAGACATTGGTCTAAAGGGGAATCTGGTTTCTTTCTCAACAAGGGATACTTCTAATACATCAGGACTATATACTCACAATATAACCAATATTCTCCTCTTCTGATTTTCTCTGGGGAAAAAAATCTAAAGTAATGGTGATAAAAGCTAGAAAATTTACAAAGAGACCTGAGACTTTTAAGACTCTCAAAGTTGAAATAAAAATGTTTATTATTTCTCTATTTATCCTTGTTTCTCACCATAATTGGCAATTTGCTAAGAAATCAAACATTTTACATTTTCGCTTCTCCTATATATTTTCTTTCAGATTCTTTGTAAAAGTATCACTTCTTTTGTATGCATGACAAAATTCTTACACATGTGCAAAATTAGGGTGTTTCCAGGTAAGGAATTGTATTGTCCTCCTTTCCTGAACAGTGTCAACACTGCCATAGTTATGTATTATCTTGCCTGTCTACACTTACACAACCATCTGATCAGGAGAGAGATAAATATAAATTGTACAATACATCTCTTTGTAACTCCAGGTCTTTGTGAAAGGTTTCTGAGAGACTGCATTGCTAGAAGGCATGTGCTTTCCTCACCAGGAAATTTAAGTCTGCTGCGACTGGGTGAGGGAGTCCCTCCAGCAGCAATGGTTTTTTCATGCCTGCCATCTTCTCACAAACCAAATCATCTGATACATCTTTCAGTCCCAGTATCTTAAGCAGCGTGCGTGCATGCATGCAGTTCATTCCTTGTCTGCCTATAAAACTAGTTACTTCAGCTCACCAGATGCAACACATTGTTCCTCCTGATTTGTTGCTGCCTAAAATGATTTATTATGTCTGATTCACGAGAAAGTCAGGCCTGAATAGAGTAGCCCAGGGGTTTATAAGGCTTCTGGAAATAATGTTAATCAATCCTTGGTTTCAAGAAAAATGAATTATTTTTCAGCGGCTGTACCACCTGGAGTTGGCAGGTAGAATGTAATAATAGGAACCT